AGCTTTTACCCAAGTCAGGAAAAAGAAAGAAAAAAAGTATTAAGGAACAGAGATGTCAGTTTGAAGACTAAGGTGTGCCTGATCCAATTTATGATATGTTTAATTGCTACATACCAAAGGGGCAAGGAGACTGCATCTTCTGACCACTTCTAACCCCACAAGAGGAAGACAGAATCACCATCAGTAGCCCAAGGCCTATTCCTGTGAGGCCAGACATGATCCAGCCCTTTCACTAATCCTGGCACTGACCATTCCTCCACAGCACCCACCATCTCTCTCTTGGGTTCGATAATTCGCTTCAGTGGCCACAGAGAACTCACAGCTTATGGGGTTTATTAGGGAAGCAACAGGTTTCAATTCAAGTTCAGAAATGCACTCAGTCTCTCACAGCTGGCCGTCTCACTTAGCAGCTGGCAGTCTCTCTCAGCAATGTGTGTCTTTCACATCTCTCAGCAGCACATGTCTATCACATTTCTCTCTCAGCAAGTGCGTGTGTCTCACATCTCTTTCTCATCAGGTTTGTGTCTCTCACGTCTCTTCTCAGCAAGTGCATGTCTCTCAGGAGCACATTTCTCTCAGCAGCACAACTTTCTCAGCCAGCAGTCAGAGAGATTCCTTCTGCCTTTAGGAGGGCTCCTTTTAAGCTTGGCAGAGTGGCCAAACTAACCAATGCCAACATCAGAATTCTACACACCTAAGAGAGAGAGAGAACTTGCCAGAAGATTGCTTCCTGCCACTCTCAACAGAAGTACCCCAGGAAGATAACTAACAATCAGGAGATACTCAGTTGCTCATGGTAAATTCTACCACTGAGTTTACAAAGACTCATGGCTAGAAAAGCCATACCGGGTAATTTACTACACCACACTTCATATGCATGTGAAAGCTGGACTATGAATAAGGAAGACCAAAATAGAATTAATGTACTTGAATTATAGTGTTGGTGAAGAATGTTGACTATACCATGGACTTCCAGAAAAACAAATAAATCTGTCTTCAAAGAAGTACATCCAGAATGCTCCTTAGAAATGAGGATAGCAAGACTTCATTTCATGTACTTTGGACATGTTATCAGGAGGGACCTATTCCTACAGAAGAACATTATGACTGGTAAAATAGAGGGCCATTGTAAAAGAATAAGACCTCAATGAGGTGAGTTGACACAGTGGCAATGACAATGGACTCAAACAGAGCAGTGAGGATGGCATAGGACCAAGCAGTGTTTTATTCTATTGTATTGTATTGTTTGATCTGGGTCATAACTGACTCAGTGGCACCTAAAAACAGCAACAACAGGGAGTTTGATGTCAGAAGTTGAGTTGAGATTTGTTTAGGAATGTGTATTAATATGGGTCTTGCCTATATTACTCTTTGTATGTCCTATTACCCATCTTATTTTTCTTTATGTGTTTTACTGCTGCTTTTTTTGCTTTTAAAAAAAGCCTCAAACTGTCTGATTTTTTTGTTTTCATATGTTTTTTAAAATTTTATTGTGATTTGGATGAAAGTGTACAGAGCAAATTCATTTTCCATACAGCAGTTAATACATTCATATTTTGTCCCATGACACTGACTGCAGTGCAATAACCAACTATGTAACAGTTCTCTTGCCACTTCCTGCCATAGTTACCTCTTCCCTGTATCCTTCCCTCCATGCACTCCTGCTTCCTGAGCTGTCTCCCTGTGCATGCACTGCCCTTCTTTTCTCCCATGATTGATCTCTCCAAGGAGTGTATATTTACCTGATGTAAGTGTTCAGCCCATATGCCTGTCTGTTATTTGGCTGGAAGCCACAGGAGTGGCTTCAATTCCAGCTGGGGGCCATAGATGCAGGAGTCTCACCAGGCATATCAAACTAGCAAACTTGGTCTTTTGTGTGTGTGTGATTTTGAGTTTTATTCCACATAGTTCTCCCACTCTATCCAGGATTTCCTGCACCGACCCCCCTGAGTGGTTGACAGTGGTAGCTGGTTATCCTCTAGTTCTTCTGGGCTCATGGTCATATAGGCTAAGGATCAGATGGTCTACCAGTCCCTTAGACTGATTATTTCCATGCATCTTTGGTTTTCTTCATTCTTCTTTGCTCTGGATGAGGAGAGACCCATTGTTGCTTGCAAGCTTTTAAGATCCCAGTTGCTACTTAGCAAAGTAGGATGTGGAACAATGTTTTTGTATAGTATATTATGCCAGTTGAGCTTGATGTCCCCTGCAACCATAATCCTGAGCCCATAGGTCCAAACACTTGCTCCATCATAGTGGTTGACTACACATAAGATGTTACCATAATTTTACATGGACATTCTAGTTCTAGTTACATGGACATTCTTCAGCACATACAAATACATATGTAGACTTGTTGTCTGCCAACCTTATGTGTGGTCTTGGATATATTCCCTTTTGCCTAGACATAACTGATCATTCAGCCTGTCTACCCATCTATTTGGGAGCTCTGGTACCGTAGTGCCTAAAGCACTTGCCTGTTAACCAGAAGGTTGGCAGTTCAAATCCACCAGCCACTCCTCGGAAGGAAGATGGGTCAATCTACTTCCGTAGTGATACTGCCTCGGAAACCCAACGAGGGGTCGCTATGAGTCAGGTCCAACTTGACAGCACATAACAACAACAACTCATCTATTTGCCCACAGATTAATGTTTTTGATCACTGATAATGCAGTATTTTATGTATCAAAGGATTTTTATCTCCATTGTTTGTACTTCTTATACACCTTCCTGTGTCTTCTTTTTCATATATTTTTATCTCGCTGTTTTTTGCCGTTTAACCTTTGTTTCTCTTTTGTCTCTCCTTTACCAGCTGAATTTGTATTTATAACATTCTTTAATTGTATTGCTTATTATTAATATTTAAGGATTAATGTATAAAAAGGAACCCAGTAATTAAACTGCTTTTTGTCTTCTTTGACTTTCTTTTGTGAGATAATGGATTAATTTTGTTTTATTTTTAAAGATTTATTCAAGTCTTTTCTTCTGTATTAACAGGATGATGCCATTTAATAAATGCCTTCTCATTTTAGAACTATTTTGGCTATTTCAGTCACATAAAATTAACGTTTGTGCATACATATCCATGTTATGCATAGGTTCCTTTTGTGTTTACTCAAAAAGTATTTGTATATTTTTAACCATTAGAAAATTACTTTGTTGTTGTTGTTTTTTAAAAAATTGCTTACTCAAAAGGGTCATATATTTGAGTCTTTACACATATTTCGTGTTTTAAGATATTCTTTATTTTGAGTAAAATTTCAATTGAAGCAGGCACTCAGCATGAAATGGCTTTAAGTTGTACTGATTTTAGGTACTTAGAGAAATTACTGGACAGAAATCATAAAAAAGGGAGTAAAAGAAATTTAACACAGGTTTATGAAATATTCTTGGGAATAAGAATTGGAAGTTAGAAATGAATATTCCTTTTTTCTCACTGAAATTCTTTAATGAGCATATTTTAAAAACAATGTCCATCATGAAATTTTAATTCCCAAAATCAGAATAGTGTTTCTGAATGTCTTTTTTAATAGAGAGGGTAGGTAAATGGATTGGAGGAGAAAAACAAAGAGAGGGACTTCAACTTCATAACCTTTTTTTTTTTAAGGGAGGAATTTGAGACAGATGTATGAAAATGTTAAAAATTGAAAGTTAATGTTGGCTTGATTAGTCATCATATTCTCTTTCCTATTGTATACTATTTTCTGTGTACTTAAACTATGTTATAATCAAATAAAACAGTACATTAAGTCTCTGTGTTGTAGTGATACAAACACTGCTTTATTTCCATCTAGAGATGATTTACCTATGAGAAGACTCACTGTCGCTCTAATTATAATGATGATACATGCAAAACGTTTTAATAAAATTAGCAACAAAAAACAGACATTTGGAGATACAACAATATTTTAAAACTACTATTTTATATTTTAAAGTAATGTTAAATTGTGACTTCCATTATTTTAGAAATAGAAATGGATTGTTAATTTCTACATTTACTATACCTAAGCATTCATTTTCAATCTTGGTACTTCATAGTATACTACATATCTTGATTTGTTAAATAGCTTTATTTACCTATAGATACTATTTACTAGAAATAATTTGATACATTGGTATAGTAAGCCGTTGCTGTGTTTATCTATTGTATATTTTAAGTGTATTCGTTTATTTATAGCCAGAGCCTAGAAATAGACTTTTTGAAATCATACTTCATGTCTACTGGTTACTGAAGATGTCTCTGGAGGTCAGTTCAGGATATGTAGTTTGTGGTGGTTGTTATGGTTATGTGCTATTGTGCTGATCTGACTCATAATAACCTTGTATACAACAGAAGGAAACACTGTTCTTGTGCCATTCTCATAATCATTGCCATATTTAATTCCATTGTTCCAGTCATTTTGTCAATCCATCTCAGAGGGTTGTTGTCTTTTTCACTGACACTATACTTTTCCAGGTATGATGTCCTTCTCCGGGTGTCTTCTAAGGAACATTCTCTGGCTGAGGAACATGTCTGGCTTCTTCTAAGACAGATTTGTTTGTTCTTATGACATCCATGATATATTCAATATTCTTCACCAACATCATAGTTCAGTTTCCGAATTACTTTCAGGATAATATGACAGGCACATGTTCTAGTCTTCCTAGTTCTTTTTTGAGTGATGAGCTAGTTAAGAGCCTTGAGAGTGTTAAAGAGATTTATGATCTGCTAATAGGAGCTCTGGTAGCATAGTGCCTAAGGCACTTGACTGCTAACCAGAAGGCTGGCAGTTCAAACCCACCAGCCACTCCTCGGAAGGAAGATGGAGCAATCTACTTCCTTAGTGATACTGCCTTGGAAGCCCAAGGAGGGGTTGCTATGAGTGGGGTCTGACTCGACAGCGCATAACAACAACAACAATATTGTTATAATTCTTTAATAAAACTGTTATCAATGGACACAATTTTACATGCAATTTCAAACAGACATAAGGAGTTGGTTTTTGTTTTTTTACTTTTAGGTGTAAAAGGTCAAGAACGTCTCCTGTCTCTGATTGCCACATTTCTGGTACTACAGTTTCTTCACATCAAGTTGGAAGGAGTGGAAATAGTCTTCAAATCACTGATAAAATTAGATGTCACTTCTATCTCCAGGTGCCCTTATAAGCTTTAACTATTAAGCTTTTATTTTCAACCATTTCTTAAATAAACCTTGTAAGTAGGCTACATGAAATTATCTTACATTTATGTACTACTTATTTTTAAAAACTAATGTGTTGTATTTCCAGTGAAGATTTACACATCAGTTTAGGCTCCCATTCAACAATTTCTGCACAAATTGTTCAGTGACACAGGTTACATTCTTCACAATGCGTAACATTCTCGTTGTATCCATTCTGGTTGTTCCTTTAATCTAGTTTCCCTGCCACCTTACATTATCATCTTTGTTTTAAAGTAATTATTAACCAAAGGTTGGGCAATCCTACTTCCATAGTGATACTGCCTCGGAAACCCAAGGAGGGGTCGCTATGAGTCGGGGCCGACTCCACGGCACATAACAACAACAACATTAACCGTTTGTTCACATGTAAATGATTTTTAAAAGGAACACAGTACTTGTGATTGATATTCATCATTTTGTGAGCTAATCTGTTATTTAGTTACAAGTTGACCTCAACAGTTAGTTTCAGGTCAAGTTTGAAGAGTATCTCGGTGCAATAATCTTGGGAAGTCCTCCAGTCTCAACCAGTCCAGGAAGGATGGCTTTTGTTGTTTGTTTTAAGAATTTCAGGTTCTGTTACTCATATTTCACCCATTTGGTCAGGGTTGTCAGTAAGGTTAGTCAGGTAGCATGTAGTTCTTCTGGTTTTAGGGTAGATGGGCTGTGGTTTGCACTGTTTGTCTTGTAAACTACTGTCTTCCTTGAATTGCTGGTTTCCTTCTTTCTCTTTTGCTGTAGATGGTTTGTTTCTGTATATATACCTGTTGATTACATTTCATAAAAGTGAGAACATATAATATTTTTTTGTGATTGACTTATTTCACTCAACATAATGTCCTTCAGGTTATTTCATGTTCCAAGATGTTTTGGGAATTCATTTTTCTTTATTGCTAAGTAGTATTTCATTGTATGTATGTGACACATATTACTTATCCATTCATGATGGGCATTGTTGTTTCTATCTTTTTGCTCTTGTGAATAGTGCTGCTCTGAACATATGTACACATGCGTCTGTGCCACTTCTTTTAGCTCACTAGGTTATATATCTAGGAGTGGAATTGCTGGGTCATATGGCAGCTCTACCTCTAGTTTTCTGAGGAACTGCCAGAATGTGTTCCACAGTGGCTATACCATTTTACATTCTCGTCAACAGTGGATGAGGACTCTACTTTCTCCACATCCTCTCCAACACTTTTCTCTTCCACGCTTTGTTTTGTTTAATCTTAGCCATCATAGTGGAAGGGAAGTGGTATCTCATTGTGGTTTTGATTTGCATTTCTCTGATGCCTAATGATGTTAAGTATCTTTTCATTGGTCCATTAGTCATTTGGATATCCTTTTCGGTGTAGTGTCTGATCATGTTCTTTGCCCAGTTTTTGATTTGGTTATTTGTCTTTTTGTTGTTAATTACATTTATGTACTACTTTATAAGTACGAATATGTATAGGATACATATTATAGAAGGAGCTCTGATGGTGTGGTTCAGGCATTTGGCTGCTAACCAGAAGGTTGGTGGTTAAACCTACCAGCTGCTCCATGAAAGAAAGATGAGACAGTAGACTTCCATAAAGATTTGCAGCCTTGGAAATCAATGTGATTCACTGTGAGTTGGAATCGACTCAGTGGCAGTGAGTTTGGTTTAGTTTTTGGTTATAAGTACAAAGAGGATTTTTTCATAGCTAATACCTGGACGACAATCTTTTAGGTAGGCAATATACAGTATTTTTCTCTCTAGCTGCACAGGAAATTGGCACTGAGAGTTTAAGTGTTGCTTACATTTGAGCTCAGATCTTTAGGTTCCTGGTGTAGTAGTATTTTCACTATAACATGTTGATCTTGTGTGCTTTTGGAAGATCCAGTATATGATTATTGGGACAAAGCCTGCTCCCAACAATTGCAGGCCCTGGGACAAGAATACAAATAGAAACCCACATACTATATATCTAAGTATTTGAAGGTTATAAGTCAAACTAAGAAACTCTTAAATGTGTTTGCTAAAGGGACAAGGATGTGACATCTTCTGACCTCCTCTAATTCCACAAGAGGAAAACAGAATCACCATCAGCAGTCCAAGGCCTGTTCTTATGAAGCCAGCCATGCCGCCACCCTTTAGCTCTCTTACTAACCTTGACACCAACCATTCCTCCCATGGCACCCAGCATCTCTCTGCTGGGTTCGATAATTTGCTGCAGTGGCCACACAGAACTCACAGGTTATGGGGTTTATTAGGGAAGCAACAGGCTACAATTCAAGTTCAGAAACGTGTTTAGTCTCACTCAGCCAGCTGTCTCTCAAACGATGGTCTCTCTCAGTAGCACATCTCTCTCAACAGTGCATGTCTCTCATGTCTCTCAGCACTGTGTCTCTCTCACATCTCTCAGAAGCACATCTCTCACAGCAGCATGTCTTTCTCAGCCGGCAGTCAGAGAGACTCCTTCTGCCTCTAGGAGGGCTCGTTTTAAACCTAGCAGAGTAGCAGAACTAACCAATTCCAAGATCAGAATTGAGAGAGAGCAAACTTCCCAAAAGATTGCTCTGTGCTACTCCAGCAGAAATACTTCAGGTGGATAGCTTTAACAATCAGGAGCTAATCAGTTGCACAGAAAATTCCACTACAGCATTTACAAAGACTATGACTAGGAAAAAAAAAAAAAAAAAAAAGTTTTTCACTTGGGTGTGGCTCTATATTAAGGCCAGAGCCCAAGGTAGGCTGGCCTGGAGCTTGGAGGCTGATTTTCACTTGGGGGTGGCTCTATATTAAGGCCAGGGCCTGAGGTAGGCAGGCCCAGGGCTGGGGACTGCTTCACTTGGGGGCAGCTCTTTATTAAGGCCAGGACCTGAGGTAGGCAGGCCTGGGACTTGGAGGCTGTGTTTTGCTTGGACGCAGTTCTTTATTAAGGCCAGGGCCGGAGGTAGGCGGCTGAGGCTCAGGAGCTGCTTTTCACTTGGGGGTGGCTCTTTATTAAGGCCAGGGCCTTAAGTAGGTGGGCTGGGGCTCAGTGGCTGCCTTATGCTTGTGGGCGGCTCTGTTTTAAGGCCATTGCCCCAGGTAGGCAGGTACAGAAGGGGTAGTAAGAACTAAAGGAGATAAACTTGTCTGTCAGTTAGTTGTCCTCTGGTGGCTTGGATGTTGCTGTGAGGCTGGAGGCTATGCCACTCTGTTGCAAAATGTCAGCAGGGTTACCTGTGGTGGACAGGTTACAGTGGAGCTTCCGGGCTGTGATAGACTTGGAAGAAGGAAGATGCCATCCACTTCTCAAAGAATTGACCAGTGAAAACCTTATGAATAGCAGTAAAACACTGTCTGATATATTACTGGAAACTTTATGAACAGCTCTGAAACATTGTCCGATATAATGCCAGAAGATGAGCCCATCAGGTCGGAAGGCACTCAAAATTTGATTGGGGTAGAGCTGACTCCTCAGAGTAGAGACGGCCTTAACGATATGGATAGAGTAAAGCTTTTGGGACTTCATTGGCCGATGTGGCACAACTCAAAATGAGTAGAAACAGATGGAAACTTCCATTAGTAATCAGAACATGGAATGTACGAAGTATGAATCTAGGAAAATTGGAAATTGTAAAAGATGAAATGCAACACATAAAAATTAGTGAGCTGAAATGGACTGGTTTTGGCCATTTTGAATCAGACAACCATATAATTTACTATGCCATGAATGACAAATTGAGGAATGGTGTGGCATTCATCATCACAAAGAGTGTTTCAAGATCTGTCCAGAAGTGCAACACTGTCAGTGATAGGATATATCCATATGCCTACAAGGGAAACCAGATAATACTATTATTATCCAAATTTATGCACTGACTACCAAAGCCAAAGATGAGGAAATTGAAGATTTCTACCAACTCCAGCAGTCTGAAATTGACCGAACATGCAATCAAGATGTGTCAATTATCATTGGTGACTGGAATGAAAAAGTTGGAAACAAAGAAGAGTTATTGGTAGCTGGAAAATATGGCCTTGGTGATAGAAATAATACTGGAGATCACACAATAGAATTTTGCAAGACCAAAAACTTATTCATTGCAAATACCTTTTTTCAACAACATAAGCAATGACTATACACATTGACTTCACCAGATGGAATACACAGGAATCAGCCAAGTTGACAACAACCTTAACTACCATAAGAACTAACAGAGCAAAGTTACGGTAACTTCTTAGCCACAGCTGCCCACCCTGAAGGAGTGAGTTGTTGGACCTTTGGGCTCAGGACCATAGTCACAGGACATGAAGCTCCATTGGCATAACATGCTACTCAAAAACATTGTTCTGCATTCTACATTGGTGAGTAGCAACTGGGGTCTTAAAAGATTACAAGCAGCCATCTAGGTGCAACAACTGGTCTCTCCTCATCTGGAGCAAAGAAGAACAAAGAAAGGTAAAGGCCCATGGAAACAATTAGTCCAAGGGACTGGTGGACCATGCGAACCTCAGCCTATATGAGCATGAGACCAGAAGAACTAGATGGTGCCTGGTTACAACTGTCAACCACTCAGAAAGGGATCAGTGCAGGATATCCTTGGTAGAGTGAGAGAAAAATGTGGAACAAAGCTTAAAAAAAAAAAAAAAAAAGCCCAAGCTTATTGGTCTGATAGAGCCTGGTGAAACCCCCTGAGACTATGGCCCTGAGTCACCCTTTGGGCCTGGAATTAAACTCACTCTATGGCTTAACTTTCAGTCAAACAACAGATAGGCCTATGAGGTGAACAGTTACACCAGAGAGGTGCAGTTCCTTTGAACAATCAACCATGGAAGATTAGAAGGGCTGTATTTGCTCAGGGAGAAAGCTGAGAAGGCAGGAATGGACATGAAAGAAGGACACAGGAAAAAGGTACCATAGGGAGAAAGTGGAAAGAGCTGTTAACATTGTGGGGATTGTAATCAGTTCATGAGACAAAATGTGTATGCACTTTTGAATGGAAAATGAATTTACTCTAGACTTTCACCTAAATCACAATAAAAAGTTTTGAAAAAAAATGCCATGTTTGAATACTCATCAGGGTATGAGTATTCAAAGTTGTGTTTAAGGGAATAGTACTAAACAGATATCTAGAAGCTGAAAGAAGCTTGAATTGTCCTGGAGCCAGCAAGGTAGGCTGTGAAGCATAATGGCAGTTGGGAACTGGTGGGTGTAATACATTTGAAAATGTACTGAATAAGTTAAAAGCAAATTTCCGGTTAGGCTGACAGAAGAACCTTCATAAAATGTCAAAAGATACTGTTTTTAGTAAGTGTTAAAGTAATATTTTGGTGTCTTAATTTTTGAAAGAACCATTTTGTCTGTTGGATTTAATACCCCATTACATTTCATGTGTAATTAAATTTTGAAGTCAAAGTAAACCTTTATTTTTTTAATCTAGGAATATTCCCTGGGCTATTGAGCAGATAAAAAGAGCAAGTGAATGGGTAAGAAGAACTGAAGGACAATATCCATCTATCTGCCAGCGGCTTGAATTGGGTAAAGACTGGGACTCTGTCACTAAGCAGCTACTGAGGATTCAACCCACAAACACCACTTGTCCTCTTCACGGAGTTCTTAATTGCAGTGAAGGATGGATCAAATGAAATTGTGTGTTAAACTTTTCTTCATGCTTTTACATGTAGAATAATAAAATATTAATAGATACTTGTAATGAAATCTAACTAATCAGCATATTAATTAGTCATGTTGAAAATAAGGAAATAGAAGATTTTATTATTTTAGTGGAAAAATCAGCAATAATCAAAGGAAAATTACACTTACTGAATTTGTGTGTTTAAATGTTTTAATGCTGGCCCTGGAAACTTATTTTAATCTTCCTTTTGGTAGACTATTAGGGAGCTGGCCTAGCTGGACTGAGCATTTTATATGATTCCATTTTATTCCTTTCTTCTCTCTTAGTATATCAATTTTTATGTTTTAAAAAATTATAGTGATTACCCTACAGTTTGCAATATTCACTTAAAACCAGTCAAAGACCAGTTTCACATAATACATCACTTGATAAGCTAGTACAAGTACCTCATAACAGAGTATTCCCATTTTCTCCTTGTATCCCTTACACCAAGAATCTCTGGTGGCACAGTGCCTAAGGCATTTAACTACTAACTAGAAGTTTGGTGGTTCAAGCCCCTGTGGAAGGAAGATGGGGCAATCTACTTCTGTAAAGATTTACCACCTCAGAAACCCAATGGGAGTCACTATGAGTTGGAATCAACTTGATGGCAATGAATTTTTTTTTTTTTTTAAATCTCTGTACCACTGCTGTCTTGATTGCAGTTGTCCACTATAAACACCTGTAAACACCCAACACCTTATTGTTGTTTTAACAGACAGTTGGCTATTAGATCATAAATTAATAAGTAAAATAAAAGTTTTAAATTTACCTTAATTTCTTCATTATCTTTGAAGGACTTGTCATTTCTTGCAAGGTGTTCTGGTTACCTCTGTGCCGCTCTGAACAAGAATATGCCACAAATGGGATGGCATGGACAAACAAGAGTTTATTCTCTCACAGTTTGGAGGCATTAAGTCTAAGTTCAAAGTGCCAGGATCTAGGGGCTGGGTGAAACCTTGGCTTCAGCTCTGCCTCCTGCTCCTGGCACACTGAAGCTGGAGGCTTTTCTTCACTCAGACAGCTGGTGGCCGCTGAGCCTGACCAGCCCAAGGTTGACAAGTAAAAAGACACAGTCCTGATGTTACCAAACCACATAGCAGGCCATTAATTCAAGTCCATTGAAAGTCCCAAAGTTGGCATAGCACAGCAGGCTGCTGAACAATGACATGGCTACATGCAGGATTCAAGCACCATAAGCTAGAGACCATTCCCAAAGCTATTTCTTGTATACGGGAAGCAGACCACATCCCTAAAGCAGCTACTCAGCTGCTCCAATAGATTCCACCATGGAGTTAATTACTAATCTCACCATGGGGAATAACTACATCCAGCTGCCCAGCCACTCAGCCAGGCCCAGCCAAGTTGACACACAAACTTAACCACCACACAAGGTAAGTCTGTTGTTATTGTTAGGTGCCATTGATTCGTCCTTGACTCACAGTGACCCTACGTACAGTAGAACAAAACACTGCCCGGTCTTGTGCCAGTCTCACGATCCTTGCTATACCTGAGCCCATCGTTGCAGCCATTGTGTCAATCTATCTCCTTGAGGGCCTTCCCCTTCTTTGTTGACCCTCCACTTTATGAAGCATGATATCCTTCTCCAGGGAATGGTTCCTTCTGACAATGTGACCAAAGTAGGTGAGACGAAGTCTGGCTATTCTCACTTCCAAGGAATATTCTGGCTGCACTTCTTCCAGGACAGATTTGTTAGTCCTTTTAGGAAACTGTTTTGGTTACCTAGTGCCACTGACAGGAATATACCACAAATGGAATGGCCTTAACAAACACGAGTTTAGTCTCTTACAGTTTAGAGGCTTAAGTCCAAGTTCAAAGTGCCAGGCTCTAGGGGCTGGGTGAAAACCCCTCAACCTTAGGGTCCAGCTCTGCCTCCTGCTCCCTGCCCACTGGATTCAGAGGCGTTTTTTCACTCAGCTTCTGGCTGCTGAGGCTGAAAAGCCCAAAGTTGACAAGTAAAAAGGCACAGTCCCGATGTTACCAAACCACATGGCAGGCCACTAACTCAAGTCTATTGTAAGTCCCAAGGTCAGCAGAGCATGGCAGGCTGCTGAACAATGACATGGCTACATGTAGGGTTCAAGCGTGCCGTAAGCTAGAGACTATTCCCAAAGGTTCTTCTTATATACAGGAAGCAGACCATATCCCAAAGGCAGCTACTCAGCTGCTTGTGGTAGATCCCACCATGGAGTTGATTGCTAGTCTCATCATGGGGAATAACTACCACCAGCTGCCCAGACACTCAACCAGGCCCAGCTAAGTTGACATACAAATTTAACTACTACACAGACCATAGTAATCTTAGCATTCTTCTCCAACAGCATGATTCAAAAGCATCAACTCTTCTTCAGTCTTCCTTATTCATTGTCCAGCTCTCACATGCATAAGAGGCAATTGAAAATACCATGGCTTGGGTTAGGTGCATCTTAGTCTTCAAGGTGACATCTTTGCTCTTCATCACGTGAAAGAGGTCTTTTGCAGAAGATTTGCCCAATGTAATACATCATCTGATGTCTTCATTGCTGCTTCCATTGGTGCTGATTATAGAACCAAGTAATATGAAGTCCTTGAAAACTTCAGTCTTTTCTCATTTATCATGAAGCTGTTTATTGGACCAGTTGTGAGGATTTTTGTTTTCTTTACAATGAGGTGTAATCCATACTGCAGACTGTAGTCTTTACTCTTCATCAGTAAGTGCTTCAAATCATCCTCACTTTCAGCAAGCAAAGTTGTGTCATCTGCATATTGCTGGTTGTTAATGAGTCTTCCTCCAGTCCTGATGCCACGTTCTTCATATAGTCCACCTCAGCATACAAGTTGAATAAGTATGGTGAAAGGATACAACCTTGACACAGTCCCTTCTTGATTTTAGACCATGCAGTATCCCCTTGTTCTGTTCACACGACACCTTCCTGATCTATGTACAGGTTCCTCATGAGCACAATCAAGTGTTCTGGAATTCCCGTTCTTCTCAATGTTATCCACAATTTGTTATGATCCACACAATGAAATGCTTTGCATAGTCAATAAAACATAAGTGAACATCTTTCTGATATTCTTTACTTTCAGCTAAGATCCATTTGACATCAGCGATGATATCCCTCATTCCACGTCCTCTTCTGAATCTAGTTTGCATTTCTGGAAGCTCTCTGTCAGTATACTGCTACAACCATTTTTGAATTATCTTCAATAAGATTTCACTTGCATGTGATAATTAATGATATTGTTTGATAATTTCCACATTCTGTAGGATCACCTTTCTTTGGAATGGGTACAAATATGGATCCAGTCCATTTCAGTCATTTGGCCAGGTAGCTGTCTTCCAAATCTCTTGGTATAGCTGAATGAGTGTCTCCAGCAGGGCATCCATTTGTTGAAACATCTCAATGAGTATTCTGTCAATTCCCGGAGCCTTGTTTTTTGCCCATCCTTCAGTGCAGCTTCGACTTCTTCTTTCAATACCATTGGTTATTGATCATATGCCACCTCCTGAAATGGATGAACATCGACCAATTCTTTCTGGTATAGTGACTCTGTGTTTTCCTTCCATCTTCTTTTGATGTTTCCTGCATCATTCAATATTTTGCCTATAGAATCTTTCAGTATTGCAACTCGAGGCTTAAATTTTTTCCTCAGTTCTTTGAGCTTGAGAAATGCTGAGTGTGTTCTTCCCTTTTGGTTTTCTAACCCCAGATATTTGCGTATTTCATTGTAGTAATTGGTTTTGTGTGCTTGAGCTGCTCTTTGTGATCTTCTGTTCAGCTCTTTTATCTTGTCATTTCTTCCATTTGCTTTAGCTGCTCTCTGTTCAAGGGCAAATTTCAGAGTCTCTTCTGACATCCATTTTTGTATTTTCTTTCTTATCTTTTTTAATGATCTCTTGCTTCCTTCATGGATGATGTTCTTGATGTCATCCCACAATTCTGGTTTTCAGACATTGGTGTTCGTTCAGTGAATCAGATCTGTTCTTTAAATGGTCTCCAAATTCAGGAGGAATGTTATCAAGGTCATATTTTGGCTCTCATGGACTTCTTTTAATTGTTCAACTTCAACTTGAACATGCGAATGAGCAGTTGATGGTTATTCCACAATCAGCTCCTGGCCTTACTTTGGCCAAAGATATTGAACTTCTCCATTGCCTCTTGCCACATACATAGTCAATTTGACTCCTGTGTATTCCATCTGGTGAAGTCCACATGTATAGTCTTCACTTACATTGTTGAAGAAAGGTATTTGCAATGAATAAGTCATTGGTCTTGCAAAATTCTGTCATGCAATCTCCAGTGTTATTTTTATCACCAAGGTCATATTTTCCAGCTACTGATAACTCTTCTTTGTTTCCAACTTTTGCATTCCAGTCACCAGTGATAATCAACACATTTTGACTGCATGTTTGGTCAATTTCAGACTGCAGAAGGTGGTACAAATCTTCAATTTCCTCATCTTTGGCATTGGTGGTTGGTAGAGATTTGAATAATAGTATTAACTGGTCTTCCTTGTAGGCATATGGATGTTATGCTATCACTGACAGCATTACTTCAGGACAGATCTTGAAACATTCTTTGTGACAGTGAAAGCCACACCATTCCTCTTCAATTTGTCATTCCCACCTTAGTAGATCATAGAGTTGTCTGATTCAAAATGGCCAAAACCAGTCCATTGCAGCTCACTAAAGCCTATGATATTGATCTTTATGCATACCATTTCATTTTTGACAACTTCCAATTTTCCTAGGTAAGTCTACCATCAACAAATTCCCCCAGTTTTTGTTTGTTTAAGAAAGTATTTCTCCTTCACTTTTGAAGGATAATTTTACTGGATGTAGAATTTGTGTTGGTTTTTCCTATATATATATTTTTTTTCTTTCAACATTTTAATTATTTTATTCCACTCTCTTCTGGCTTGCATGTTTTCTCCCCGTTTCTTCCACTTGATCACTGGCGGCTTTCA